CCGGCCCCTGCGGGGAGGGGCTTCTTTGTTCTGAGCTGGGCTTTCCTGCCCCACCACAGAGGCTGCTGGACCAGACCTCCACCTGGGGCCCAGGACATCACCCAAACAGGAGCTTGGAGATGGGTGGCTGGTTGCTGCTCCCAGTGCCATCTGGTTTGCATTCCCCTAGCTGAGCCCTGGGCAGTCAGATTCCTGCCTGGGGCCCCTGTGGCAGGGGTGGGGTAGTCATTCTCTCCTTGCTCCTCCTGCTCAGGATCCCCCTCCTGCAGTCCATCCCCCGTGAAATAATAATAATAGTAACATTAACAACAACAACAATAATAATGTTACTTAATTCTTACTGTGAACAAGGACTCAACCCTTAACACGAGCCTGTAAAGTGGAGACCAGCCTTGCTCTGCCCCACTCCACAGACGTGGAAAGTGAGGATCAGGGGCTCTGTGACTTGGCCCCTGACACATTGCTCCCTTCAGCTGTGCTCCACACGGACTTGGCAAATTTACTAAAAATCATCTAATTGTAACCATGCAACAGGCGAATACATGCTATGTAAATTACACCTTACCTTCAGAAAGCTATAAAAAGCAGCTCATGCCTGGCACCCTGGGCCAGCACAGGGAGCCCCATCTCTGTGGACTGGGAAGTTCTGATTGGCACCCCAAATGTCATTTTTTAACTCTCTTTGTTGCCTGGTTGCCCAGACAAGGAACTGCCTTGATAATCTGATAACTGACAATGGTTAGAGCTACCCTGGGTGTCGTGGGAAAGGAGGCGAGGGGGAAGTCACAGCAGAGCTCAGGTTCAACCCACAGCAGCAAAGCCCTTCAAGGTACAGCCGAGTCCCAGCTGGGTCTGGGGGAACAAATGAGGGGGGTCTCTGGGCTTCCCCTGCCACACAATGGGAGAAGTGTGGGGGTCACCCTGTTGTGGAAAGGTCCCCTTAGCTCCCTAGCCCCCTCTCTGGTATCTGTTAAGAGTGACTTCCTGAGGGGGTCACAGCACTCATTCACCCCCTCTCTTCCACCTGCTTCAGTTTCCCCTCTTAGGGAGCAGCTTCCAAAGATTATTATTATTTATTATCTGAGTTACAATAAAGAGGCAGCATATGACTGTGGTTCCAAGTTTAAGCCATTCTATCAGATAGACCTGGGTTATGAAGGTACCCAGGCATTGCCAGCTGCTCTCCCATGTGCCATGGCTCCTGCCTAACCATGTGGCTTTCTCCATGTCAGGCCCCAGAGCTGCCAGCGGTGCCTCCTACTTCTCCATGGGTGGGGGTAGTGTGGGAGGATTGGAAAATGGAGGCACCAAAGGGGTGCTACCAGGGGTTCTCTTGCTCTTCCCAATAGGGCCCCCAGATTCTCACCCTGTAGGATGTGAAAGGCGCTGAGGCGAGGAGCTCCCATGGTCTGAGCAGCGTGGTCCGGGTCACCAGGCTGGGCAGCTGGGCATCCTTCTGAGGCCTCCTGGCCCTTATACAGTGTGTGAGTGGGGGTGGAGGAGCCACTGCCCCAGGGCGTTATCTCCACAGAGTTCACAGAATCACCTATTGTTTGGCTTCAGCTCCCCTGGGATGTGCCTTGAGCCCTAAGCTGTCTGAAATTGAGTCTTCCTGTCTGATGAATGGGAATAAAATGCCTGCCACTGGCCTCACGCAGCAGGGTGAGGAAGAACTGGGTAACATACTGGGAAATGCATTGAGATGTTGCTGCAAGCTTGGGGGAGGCCTGAAGAGGAACATCCCGCCACCACCACTAGAATCTGGCCAGTCAGAAAGCCTGCTGGCTCTGACTTCACTACACCCCAAATCCTCTCACTTCTCATTTGCCTCCACCCTGGTCTAGCGCCATCATCTCCCACGTTGGTGCCCTGGCTCCTGTCCCCACACTCTGTTCCCCTGTCAACCGAAGAAACATTCAAACCTGTAGAGAATTTTTATGAGTTTATTTGAGCCAAACTGACAGCAACTGCCTAGAAGCAAAATCCCAGCAGATTGAGAAAATTCTTTCAAGAATGACCATTTTGCACTTTATTTTATACATTACAATCAAAGGAAGAGGCCTAAGAGGGTTACAAGAAATCTGCTAGTGGTAGATCAGGGAGGCAGGCCCAGAAATCTCTGGGATTGGATAAAAAGTAAAAGGAACAGACACAGACTCTTTTACACAAGTGGGCACAGGAGAGTTAAGAGTTCACAATTCACATGGTAACAATACCAGTGAGGGGTTCTGTGGTCTCTTATCCAGGTGGGAGTGAAGCATAGTAATCCTTCCTTTGGAAAATTGCCGTTTAAAACTGCCATTTGAACTACTCTGTTATTCTTAGACAGTCTGTTATTCTGTAGGTCAACTGTTATTTTTAGACTGTAAAATAACTTTGTTTTTTTCTTGAACAGAAAAGATAAACTTAATTGTCAGAGCTTGCAAGCTAGCCATCTAACTGATATGCTGATTTTGATAGCAGATGTCTGTATAGATATGATACGATACTCAAGGTTACAGGTGTCTGTGTAGATATGATATGGTACTCAAAGTTACAAGTTGTCTGTATAGATATGACAGGTGTTTGATTAGATATGATATGTACTCAAGATTACAAGCTGTCTTACACAAAGAACTAGAAGGATATAAAAAGGAAATAATCCTTCCTGTGTTTGTTCAGAATTTGATAGAGGTAATCTTCTCTGAACCTGCGTGCAATAAAGATGACTCCTAACTAATTGGCTCATTAGGTGTCTTGTCCAGCTCGCTGATTTGCGATACATTATGAACCAGGAAGGGAGCCATCACCACCACATGGCCATGCTGGTGCCTTCATCTCAGACTTCCCAGCCTTCAGAAGCAGAAGAAACAATTTTCTGTTATTTATAAATGCCCTAGTTGTGGTACTGCTATTGCCAGACTGCTCCCCAGAATGGCCCTCCCTCCAGCAGTGCATTTGGGTTGCTATATATCACATCCCTGGAAACTCATCATTATCCAGCTTCCTAAGTCTTTCACCAGTCTAACCCTTATAAAGTAATACCTTAGGCCAAAGTTCATAATAAAGTAACATAAGTTGAAAAAAATGATTCCCCTTTAAATTTTATGACTGAAAAAATATTTTAAATATTTTAAAGAAAATAATATTAAAAATATTTTAAAGAATAAAAAATAATATTAAAATATTTTTAAAGGAAACATTTCAAATAGGAATTATGCTAAATTGAGATTATAGCTTGTTTCTCTTGATGAATAATTTCCTAACAATAAATGTGCATGA